GACAGGATTTAGATTTAGATTTCTACTCTGGCCCGGGACACAATTTTTTTCTGTGGGAGTGGGACGGGACAGGAGTGAAAATCCACTCCCGTGTCTCTAATGCTAACCTACACATTTGGCCATCAAAATGGCATTAATAAAGAGCGTGATTCATTAGTAAAAATTACCTTATTGAATTCTGAGATATTGTATTTTAGTATGAAGAGGTCCAGCATGACTGTCCTGTCCAATCTGTAGTTATCTCCCATACACAACCGATTGATGCCCTTTGTACAGTATTCCCACATTCTGTCAAAACCAGGATTAACTTGTTCAGCAATCTTAGATTTGTTAGCTCATTCATGGATCAGACCGCGTGGTCCAGCATTTGCTCCACATATGCATCAATGAGCCTTGGCCTCCAATGACTCTGTCGCTGGTTTAGCATGGGTCTTTACTTGGACTATTTCAACAGACCAAATATGCCTCACAAGAAACTGCAGTTCAACCCAACCATGCACCCATCACAGTTTTGTCCTCGTTGTAAAACTATATCAGATCCCTTTTTTATGTGTGCAAACGCATAAAAAGGGGATCAAAAATCTAACAAATAAAATAACTCAAATTCTTAGGCTATCTTTTTTGTTCCTTTTACCCAGTACCGTCCACATGTATGGTAATCTGAAATGAGTTGAGCAGTAGAAACATGAAACATTAAAGCTACCTTGTCTGCCGTTTGTGTCGTCTTTCATGATCTTCTGGTAGCATTCAAACTGGGCCGTAACTATCTTGTTTCTGGTGATTCCAATGTCATGGTAGACGTTGTTAGGATGCTCTTGCTGACTTTCGTTAACCTCCATGCTGGCCCTACCAAGGAACTGAAAAAAACGTCAGACATAAAATATTACTAGGGAAACCAATACATTTAATACAATGGGCTCTTTTCTCTAATCCGCACAGGATCAAAATCACACAAACATTATATTGCCAATAGTTTATGATCACCTACCTTGACTTGAATATGAACTAAAGTGACGTCCCATTGTTAATTGATTGTGTACAACAATATGTTGGTCCACATTTTGCAGCTTTAATGGGCTGAACTCTTCTGTGAACTCTGACCACAAGGCTTCAGAATGTGTATGGGAATCTTCGATGATTTTTCTAGAAGCCAATTTGAGAGATCATAGACTATGATTTTAGATGAAAAGGCCTGACTCTCTGTCTCCTTTTCATTCCTTTCTAAAGAGGAGGAAGTCAGGACATTGTCAACCTCATCCACACCAAATTCTTCTATTCAGGTTTCTATGAACCTTTCCTTGTGCACAGTTATGATGGAGGAGGAAGGTGCCTCACCACTGCTGGGAGCACTCATAGCACTTCAACTGGTACTACTGGTGTAATTCATCACTATAGAGAAGGAAGTGTGTGGTAGTGTGTGGCCTTCCAGCTGTTCGTTCCATGAAGCTCTCTATGCACAGTTCTTCAGCTGCTTGAAAACTGCATCAAGTCTGGAGGTCTGCAGTGACTTCACAGAAAGTTAAATGTCTGCACACTTTGTGCATCAATATCCACTGTCCCTGCTCCGCCTGTTTACATGACCCATCACGTCATACCTCAGTTGTTGTTTTACCTAAGAACATCTACTTTGATATAATACCACTGACAGTTGACTATGAAATGTTAAGCTGTTCAGCAAGTCCAGTTGTGAAGTTTGCTTTCATATTAACATCTTATCACAGAGCTAACCTGGAATGGATAGAACCAGCCTGCCTCTAGAATACAAAACAAATATTTTACAGCCCTAAGGCTGACCTGAAAATGAGAAAAAGGTTGAGCTGTCCGGTTACAATGGTGAGAGTACTGTCAGGGACAAATAAGGTAAAGCTTTGGAACATACACTCCAAGTGCGAAGCATGGTTGTGGCAGCACCATGCTAAGGGGCTGCACTGTGATACCGGTGCACTGCATGATAGTCAGACTAATGAATACGAAGCATGACCAGCAGGTTATCTTACTTCAATGCAAATCAACATCTAGATCAGGCATTCCCAAAGTCGGCCCTCGAGGGCCACTGTGCTGTAGGTTTTAGAGGTTTCTCTGCTTTAGCACAGCTGATGATTGATTGGAGTTCAGCACAAGCCTGTTAATCAGCTATCAACGTAAAACAGCTGTGCTGGAGCAGGGAAAACTCTAAAACCTGCAAGTTTTAGAGTTTTCAGGCATCCCTAATGTGCAGGTTGCACATTGGGGATGGCTGATGTAGATGGCTAATACCTGTACCCAGCAGGGTTTTCCAATAGAATAATCACCCAAACAAACATGAGAACTGGGTTTGGATGGAATAAACGAGGATAGATTACTACCTTAGCTACTAAAAGTATCTGTTCAAAGCTTAGTAAAATTGAAAGTTGTTGATGTTTACAAAGCATTTATGCTTCATGAACAACTTTCTCTCTCACTTGTAAGTAAAACTACATAAGTCAATTTTAAAGGATGCTACAGCTCATTGTTGGATCAACAACTGTTTCCAACTGTTGCATTAGGTTTAGGACTGTGGGAAATAGGAGTTATACTGGCAGATGTTATGGTGAGGGTCTGGGTTAGGTCATATAAATAAATGGAAAATGAATGGAAACGAATGAAAAGTCCTGGTTAGAATAATATCACATAATTGTGTGTGTGTGTGTGTGTGTGTGTGTGTGTGTGTGTGTGTGTGTGTGGGGAGGGGTGGGGGGGGGTGTGTGTGTGTGTTTGATTGCGTGTTGAGGGGTTGTCCTACCTTTGTTAAATTGCACAAAAGCATGAGCGTGACCATCCAGCTCCACCCGAAGCCGCCCATCTTCCTCTCAGCCATGTCAAGTAACACTTCAACAGTTTCAGATCTGAAACAGAGAACAAACAACTGAAATCCCCCCAGAAAAGCTGCTTCACTGATCTCCCCTAAATGGCATTTTATCTCATTCTAACAGAGAGGAAAGCATGTTCATAGAAAAACTGATGCAAATCAATATGTACATGACCAAAACCTAACAAAAACATTTCTAAACAACAAACATATGATCACATTGTAATACTAGGGAATACGAGAAATAGATTAATTAAGAGAACAATGAAAACTGCAGACTGTACATCATGTGGGTCAGTAAAATGAGAAGCTCCTGCAGTGTATTGGAATCAGAAATTAAATGACTCTATGTGTAAAGAATCTGATCACTGAACAGATACTTCCTGAAAAAAGCAGTATTGCAGTATTTTAAAGACACCACATCATTAGCTTTCAGTCATGTATGTTTGCAGCCTTTACTTTTATAGGCTGTACTCAGGAGGTTCTGCTGGACTGAAGCTGGGGACCACTGGGGTTTCATGGCTGCTACACAGCAGATGAGCCAGAATTCAGAAAAAAAATTCTCCTTCAGGAGGAACTCATCTTCTCTGCAGGATAATGCCTACACCCAGATAGTTGAACTGCACTGTGGCAACTCTATCCATGTCTTCATTTCAATGTTTTATAAAAGAGAAACAGGTTATTGTTGAATAAAATCCCTAGAGACCATCTATCCCATATTTTCTGGACTATAGAGCGCACCTTAATATAAGTAATATATGCAAATTGACACAACGCAACAATTGAAACAATTGAAAACTCACTATAAGTTGTTCCCAATAAAGAAAAAACTGGAAACGTACATATAAGCCGCCCTGTGCTATAAATCTCTGATATCTACTGAACTGTCCCCCACCAAACCTGTAGGGGGAGCTCTACATATAGCCCCTGAAATAGAGAAGAAGATGAATGCTAGCTCCTGTTAGCTTGTTGGCGCAAAGCTGTAAGAGCTTCAACTGAAAGATGGGTCTTTATAAGCTCCTTATTTCTGACTGCATAAGTTGAGCCCAGTCTCTTCATTGGTTTGGCAGCTTTAATGCGGCAAATAAATGTCAAAATGTGTGAATTTGGGAAGTTTGTTCTACATCGTGCCTGCTGCTACCATATTCTTGTGCTAAATGAAAATTAGCCCCTTATCCTTTCATTTCAAACTTTGACTTCCCCCTCGGCCAATTAGGAAATATCGATAGAAAACACGCACCTTCCTATAAGCCGCATGGTTCAAAGTGTGGGAAAAACAGTAGCGACTTATAGTTCGGAAAATACAGTAGATCACGTATCAAATACATAAATAAAATACAATAAAATAAATCTATAATTACTTCAATATTCACAATTGTATAAAATTTCATACATTCTTTCAGAAATTTTTGTTGCAGAAAATTTAACATGATTGAAGGTCACTCACACGTTTTTTGGGCGATATGAGTGTGCAAAGGTAGAATAAATTGAATAAATTAAGTGAGTGATTTAACAAAAATGAACAGTCTAATGAACATCTGAAAATGTTTACATTTTACATGGCAGCATTATTTTGGATAAAATATGCAATGCAGAGACGTGAGGTGTTCGGGGACCATTCACTGCCCGGGGACTTAAGGCAGAACAAGAATGGTACCCACAAGACATCTGACTGATGCAGATGGAGGCGTTTTGTTGTTAATTAGTGCAAAAGTATTACTAAGGAAATATCTTGGTAAGTCTTCTTCAAATGGAAAATGTTAGGTGCAAGACAAACTATTCCTCTTTTGATAACCAAAACTGTTTTTATTGCCAGATCGATACTGTGACTGAATCAAAGACAGACTTTCTGCAGCTAAAATGATCCATTAAACTTGCCTGAAACTCCCATACTTGGTTCTTAATGCTAAGAAAATAGTAAATTTACATCTGTTTAGCTTTTAAAATTTTAAACTTTCCACTGTGAGATCAAAAAAAGTCAATCAATTAATCAATCAATCAATTTTCAATTCAAGTCCCAAAGAATTCATTACTGGACTTATTTTAACATGCAGAAGATGAAAATTTTGCTTTTGATCAACAATAAAGTATGTTTTTTCTAACAGAACAAAAGTTAATTTATTTTGATATTATTAAACTGTTACGAAAAATAAAAAAAAATATACATTTTTTTTTTACATTTTAAGGAGTTTTAGCAGAGAGCTTCTGTCTGATTGGACGACTGTGACCAATTGAAAAAAAGGGATGGTCTTGGTATAGAGGTTATGTAACAGACAATTAAAATTGAAAACAAATACCACTGTAGCAGTTTTTAAAACCAAGATCTAAAATGTTAAGCTTGTTACCTGCATCTTCAAAATATTGCCAAAATATTTTCAGAAAAAAACCCAGATGAGTATTTTGTTTTTTTTTCCTCATCCCAGAAATTTAAAAAATGCCTTCTCTTCCACAAGCAAATATCTATGGTTCCAGGATAGCCGTAGCTATCTCGACATAGAGAGATGAAGAACATCCGCAGTTGGTTTTTACGAATGGGGCTTTGTCCACTGAATCAACAGATCATTCTCAGTGTATAGTGGGCAGACAAGGTTGTAGCCAGCTAGTTTCCTTTTCAAACACAATCCAGAACGTGATAGTGTGATACTGTCCATGAGCCAGGTTTCTGTTAAACAAAAACATATCTATGATGATTTTGCTTTTGTATTCTAGTATATTGAAATTGCAATTGAACTTTCAAGTGAAAATACATTTAAAGAGACAGAATATCACCCAAAGTTCCATGAAAAAAAACACATTAAAGATTTTTAGTTTTAGCTTTAGCGTCCATCAGTGATTAGTTTTGAAAAAAGTAGATTTCTATTAGTCAGCAGCATAGTCCAGGGGGACATTCTCTCTTATAAAACCCCTGGGAACAAGCAACCTTCAATTTTCATTGTTTGGTTAACAAATAGAATTTTTTCCGGCTCTAACAGGGTCGGCACAGACGAATAAATGCAAAGGCGAGCGGGGGGGTTATTAGTCCAACAATGCATCGCAGATTAATCTGACCTGCAGGTCACTGTGTGGCTATCCCATCAGAGATGCTGCTTGGAGCCATAAGAGCTTCACCCGGTGAGGAGGGGCTCACAGGGTGAGAGACTCGAAAACAGAACTGGAATCTGCAAATTGGAAACAGCCATTAGGAGGTCAGCTGCTCCTTCACGCATGAATGAAGATACACAAAATAACGTTCCCAAACACACAGCGGACGCTCTGCCAAGTTCCCCAGCTGTTTCTTGGCCAGGAATGTTTTTCACATGTGACACAGAGGATGTGTTGGTCAGAGCGCAGCAGAGAACAGACGTCACAGACCGCTTTCCTAATAGTTATAAACACTGTGGTTCAGTACCTCTAATCTGTCCTATATCACTGTCAATGCTTGTGATGAAAATTAGAGTTGTTGTTTTTTGTCATTTTTCCCATGTAGCTGATTCAAATGAGTTTATATTCAGCACAAACTGAAACACAGTCTATTGGTACAGCCAGTCTTTCTGAACATCCATTCTCACCATCATACAACTCTGTAAACAGTGATGGGCAAAAGCATAAAAATATATTTTCAAATTTTGTCGTCTTATAATTAAACTACTGTGTGCTTCATCACTATTTTATTTGACCAAAACAGAAAAACGGAGGTATTTTTTTTTCAAATAGAGGAAAATGAGAACAAAAATATATTAAAATAGAAAGATTTTAATTACTTAAAATCTCTCTAAAATCTGTTTATTAGCTTTGAACATCTGTTGTTGTTTTTTTGTCTATTCTTCTTTATCAAACAACTTAACCTCAGACAGACTAGATAGAAATCATTTGTAAACATCACTCTTGAAGTTTTGCCCCACATTCTAATTTTTATATAGTTTTGGACTTTGACTGGGCAATTTTAAAAACATAAATTTGCTTTTATCTACAATAGACCATCCATTTTATCTCTGGTTCCATTTTAGGGTAATTTTCCTCCAAATCTCCATCGCAATCTCTGGTCATCTTTGGTCTTCAAAAGGTTTTCTTCCAGCATGATGATGCCACCACCGTGTATAACCATGGAGATGGTTTCTTCAGGCCAAACTGTAGTGTTTCTTTTATCTAAAAGGTGTTTTTAGAGGCAGGGGAATTTCAATCTGGGTTCCTGTGAGCACAACGTCTTCTCCTCCATGTTAGCTGTGTTCTTAACCTCAGTTGTGGGGACTTTTCTTGCATTCTTTCAATAGATGTGTTCCTCTAATTGCTGGTGAAGGTTCTCAATCACCCAGGTCATAGTCATAGCTTTTTCAATTCATGGTTCAATTTGCTTGTTTTCTAAAGCTGGGCATACACTGTGCGATTTTTACCAATCGTTGCACGCAGCTACAGCTCACACTGTACGACGTTCACAGCTCACAATGTACATCTAAAAAACACGTCGGACTCAACCCCGCAGTGAGATGGGGCTACTCTGACTCGTCTATCCGGAAAGACCAGAAGACGAGGAATATGAAGCTCACGACGTAGAGTGAAACACTCTGCCTTGGCAATTTGTGCAATTTTGTGCTTATAGCTCTAAAAAGTAAAGGCGGCGACCTATTTGGACAAAGACATGGCTGAGCAAATGTTGCTACTACGGTCTGTCAATTTTACAGAAAGAACATCATTTCACTCACACTCCTGTCATGCTTCTGTATTTTCATCTGAGAGGAAGAAGAAGAAGAACTCTTGTTGATGCTAACCTGACTCCGCCAGATGGATTTGCTCCGCATATCCATCTGGAAACCTTCCGTTGAAGTAATTTTGGGAAGGGGCGAAAATACTGGTTAGCTGATTGGCCTATGTTGGTGATAGATGGGCCAAAAAAACCAATCAGATCAACGAAGCATATGACGTACTAACAGAGCGACGACGAAAACACAACCACAAGCCAGGCTACTCTTACAGAAACCAGTCGGGAGAAGAGCAAAAACATCTTTTCCTCTGAGAAAAGCCTCCAGAGCAGTGTTTTGCTCTTCTTTCAGTGAAGAAATA